CTTTAACGAACACATAAAGGGCACAAGGAAACATTTTGAAGGATCTGTTTGATCAATTCTGTTTGAATACGTTTGATACAAACGCGGAATTGTGTCCACGATCCTAGCAAAGGCTTCATTGAGACATGATAAGGATGATTGTTTAATTTAGGGTCATTAGCAAATGTGTTTACACGCTAGTGTGGCATTCCATGAAAAGTGTCATATGCTACCCTAAAAAGGTGTGTATATTAAACAATGGGCATGACTAAACTTGATGTATTTCTTGAAAACGGGTCACATTCGATCCAGCTTAAAAAAACTACATACGCAAACAAATATTGTGCTAAGTGACAAAGGATTTAATGGAGTGCCAACTTTTAATGCCTCTCAAGGCACAAACAACGCTTTTGTCAGAATAAAAAAACGGACAAATGACAGACTTAAAGCTGCATTTTATAAACATGTAGAAATAGTTTGCCGTAGGTCAAAAAACCAAGCAGTCTACTCTTTTATAAAAGAAATAAACTAATTTGTTGTAAAACTATTCAGAAGCTATGATTTTAAAAGGAAAACCCCACGGTAACACAACGGTTCGTAGAAATGCACGAATTATAACATGCAAATGAAGATTGTGTGTATGCTCTACGTCACAGTGTTAGACTTTAAAAACTCAATATTTACTGTTGTAAACGGCAAATGTAGGATTTTTGCATCTAATCAACTTTACCCGTTTTGACTTTGCGGTAAATTAGATCTGTCGTTTATACAAAATTTATCAACTGTTAAAATTATAAAAACAGCCTTCAATATAATCCGGATATAAACTGTTAAATTCTGACTGCTACTTAAAGATATGTTTGTTAATTTTCTGTTGGATGTTCGGATCACCAAAAGGCGAAGTTTCACATGTAAATAGGAAAAAAAACTCTCAATGTCGTTAGAAACTAGGTTGCTGACTTTTAGACTTCTAAAGCTCATTTTGGCCGTCTGGACCCAAACCCAGAACGGGACTCGATATGAAACCCCTTTTATTAAACAAATAAAGCTATTTCTGTTTTTATGAATTTTATAAAACACAGCTTTCAAGAATGCCCAAAAGTGACAAATTTATTTGTAATGAGTCTGATAAAGTGACCATTTAAATCCATGATTAATATTGTTGTACGAGTATTTATTTTTAATTTATACTTTTATTTAGTTTCACCTATGAAAAAGGGTGCTATATCAGTCAAATATATTTCATATTTGTTTAAAACAATTATGAAATATAAATATGAAAGTGGGCGGAGTAAGAACTCATATTTATTTTCAGGGACTTCTTTGGTCATTTTTTTTGTTTGAAAAATCTGGTAAATACAAAAAAACTGTTTGTTGAATTTCGTTTTGAAAATTATCAAGAATGATAGAAAATGGTGTAAGAAAATAAACTCGAACACCAATATCTACGAGTATAATCAAGTCATAAACTCTGTGAAGACCTTTAAAGATTTGTTAACGTGACATCACAATGTAGCGCCAAATTGCGGCATTGAGAAATCAGTCAGAAAAAGACCGCTTTTTCAATGTTGCAAACCAATTGAATTAAATAAAAAAGTTATTTTTTCGTTTTTCGGCTCGTGAAAATATGTGGCATTTAAAATGTTTCGTGAAAATATATTCCATAATTCACTTAACTCTTATATTGAATGAGTGTAGGTTTAATACTAAATTTATTGATTTATTAAAATCATATTATACGAGCTTCTGGTGAGCATAATATTGTTTCCTTCAACGAGTTCTATAAATTTAGTATTGAAACTACACGAATATAATATTCTTTTTATCACATATATAAAATAAAAACGGTAAACTGTTAAAAAGAGTCATTTTTCATATGTTTATATATAGCGCAAATAACGTCACGTTAAAGTGTTATTACACTAGTGTGATATCGTTTTTATTAAATGGCTTTAAAAGGTTATGTTAAATATTGTGCGTAACAATTGTATTAATATACATATATTTAGTGTTTTGACTTAATACGACAAGTACGATGCCGGTTAGATAATCTCTGTTAACTTTTTGTTGTCTAAAGTCGTAATAATAGAAGAACAAAATATTAACAAAATTATTCGATTTTGCAATTCCAATCTCGTTGTGTCTTCGTTATCACTTGAAAATAAGATATGTGAGATTGAATTCATACCGAACATTCAAAAGTGAATGTAAATTTTAAAAAAGATAATCAAATACACATAACAAACCTGTAATGAACTTGGCGAGCAATTCCACATCAGTTGTATCAGGATCGACGAAAGTCGTTCTATTTCCCCACCTTTCCTTAAATTTATATTGTGCAAGTCAAAGATGGTGTCGTTGTTTTGTTGTAAAGCCACGTTAAGATAAAATATTGATGTACTATATTGTTCCATCATTTTTAACAGTTCTACCTTATTGTATTGATCTTCTGCAAATCCAATAATATCATATCTTCCAAACAACTCACACTCTGCTTATACGTAACACATCTATTTTGGCCATAGCTGTGTGTACCTGACTGCACGAACAATAGCTTTACGCTCTGTGGCTTCTCCAACTCATTTTTATTTTAGTTTTCAATCAATTGTCTTTGTGATTTATGTCAAACCTATACTATTGAACAACAAAAGTGTTGTTTACTGTCTTTTCTTTTGTTGCCCTTTAAAATGTTTTGTTCAAACAATTTCATATTTATTTATGTCACAATGCATAGCATTTTTGTAAATCTCATTGCATTGTCCGCAATATAGTTATGTTAGAAATAAGCACTGAGCACAGTGTAACAGCATAAAGCTGGAATCAGTATATAGCTTGTCATCTATTAGCTGTTTTGTATGTTGCTAAGTGTTTTTTTCTTCTCTCTCTATTTTACATAAAAATTGCGGGAGACAATTTTGTAAGAAGTCAGCTAAAAAATAGATAAAGATAAATATTCTCTGTAAGTATTCATAATCGGACGAATTGGTCTTATCCTTTGTTACTTCTTTTAAAACAAATGCTGAACAATGAAAAACATTTCGATAAAATCAATATAATAAAATATTCTAACAATTGATAAAAGAGGTAAAAAATACAAATACCAACAATAATTAAAAAATAATATAAAAACACGTTTTGACTGAGACATCCAAAGTTTTATATACAGAAGATATAATAAATCAAATTATGGATGTTAACTCATATGAATATCACGTATTATATATTTCATACGTCATTGAGAAGCTTTATTTTCTTTTCATAATTCACTCTCCGGATTTGTCCTGCTTTATCAAAATGGGAGCAATTCAAATATTATAATTTGTTCTTTTAAGCAAAACGTCATGCACCAATTGGCGAGGAATTGTGTATTGCCAGAGAATATATGAAACAATTATGTGTTATTAAGAAGAAATGACATAAGAAGATTCAAATGCATTCTTAAGACTATCATGATTATTCCCCTTATGTATTTCAACAAGATGTATGGACTTTTACATTTATATATACACACTTAACAATAACTTTGCATCTTGTCCAGAAAAAAAATGTATTTATATGTCTATTTATAGTAACATACGTCAAATTTTGTTGCCGTTTTTTGTACCTCATCAATCATGTATCATTGAAATATATCCTGATGAAGGTACCGGGAGATCCTTGAATAAACCAGTTTACATACCATCCTGATGTTTCATTGTGTTTTCTCCTTCTCTTGATTCACTTGCCTTAACACTATTTAAAGTCACATTTGCGTTACACAATTCCACAACTTATCTTTCGAGTATACCAGAATTTGTATATACATCTTAGTTACTTTTTTAGAAAGTGTATGCCTGTAATAAATTTACAAAGATGTCTCTAAGAGAGGGAGGAAACAAATTTTGAAATTCTCTTCAGGATATCTGTGATTATTCCCCTTGCTTTAAGTCTGTCTGTATGAATATAAAATGATATTAAAGTAGCTCAGCACAATTTTGTATTACTCTCCTTGATATTGTAGGTTGTAGTTATTTCACAATCGTACTATATATCACACATTATCCAACCATGATGTATTCCACTTTTCAAAAATAGAAAACGTATATTATTTACATTATATTTAAGTCATTATGATAGATTATCATCCGATGATGAATGAACCCCGATTTTTGTTCATCATTTTTATGTATTTTCTCATCATACTTTCTCTGTTGATGTATTCTTGGTTGACTCTGTTGAATTGTAATAGGTATCCAAAATAATTTGTTTACAAACATGTTTCTCTGAAATATCACGTGTATAAAAAGGTAAAAAAAATAGTCAGTCTGTGACACAGACAAGATATGAGTTATTGCTATGTAGCATTATTTTGGCGATGATAGTTCTGTAATCGTTTGGTTCAAACTTCTTGAAAATGTAGAAGCAGTTGCATATAGAAAAGTTTTCCCTTTACATTATATATGATGTATGTAGAAAAGAGGCTATAATTCTGTCAAAAGGTGGGTATTATGGATGGGCAAACTGGAACTAGAGCTGTATTAAAATTTTAACATATTGTCGAATCATCCTGTACACTCAGTTATTTAGTTTACTATTTATTTCCTTGTGGAAGGCAAAGGTTCTGAAACTACGAATGCCGAGTGTACTAGGCATCTTTATTTAGAATTACATAACGTTAAATCCTGTATCTGTGTCACAAGACAAATGTTAGCAAAAAACTATATACGACATGATTTTCTGTTAGTCTTATAATTCTTATTAGTAAAATGAAATTTGAATTTATTAAAGGTTTACAATTGAGCAAATAAAATCTCATATTGATTAGCAATTTCGTAAAAAAATTGTGGCATCATAGAAAATATGAATTGTTGTGACATATTGTCGATGTGTTTATGATAATAAGGAATAAACATGAAACGCACAATTGTTTTCTTTTTAAAATATCATATTTTATCTCGATCATATATAGAAATTGAAAGAAAACTCATACAAAACACAATTGATGCAAGTGAAACTCATTCGAATAAAAAGATATTGAACAATTTTCAAAATTATTATCGATGAGGGAAATTATGATGGCTTCTAAATAAAACTTTCATCTTCCATCAAGATCAACTACCAGAATGATATTGAAATTGACTACATAAGGCATTGTCTTTATTAACGCATATTTATTTGCAAGAAAATATAAATTCAAATCAACATAATGTTTTGATATGGCATCGAATTAATTTATGTGTTTATGTGCATTCTGTTTTCCTGATGTTGATATTTATTTTTTGTTATTTGTCTGCATCAACCGGAACATTCTCCTTCTTGTTCATGTCCTGGAGATGCTGTAAAAGTAAAACAATTATTTAAGGTTTTTTATTTTCTTATTTTCTCATTGTTTTCTAAGGTTTAATATGTTCTCTTGAAAATTGTAGGTACTATAACATATTTGAAGCTCCTTAACTATTCTATATAATAAATTATGTTATTTCTTAGATAGTGTACTAGTGTAAAGGAAATATGGCTTCTTCAGTTAAAAGTTATTAAACATGTTTAGAAATTATGATAACATTATTACTTTTAGTCTTATCGTCATAGTCACGCATTGCATACAGAGATTTTTGATTTTTTCCCTAACCGCTTGACTCTGATCACATTCCTTTTTGAGCAGTTTGATATAGTTTATTGTTTCACTCAAGATCTCGATTGTCGTCTGACCGGACAAACTATAAAAAAGAATAGAGTATAAACAGTTTTGAAACATTTGAGAATTTGTGTTTATTATATACTTATAAATGAAATATTGAGAAATATTGATGAAATGAAATGCGAATTTTTATTTTCTGTACTTTCACTGTAAAAAATAGTTTTCACTGCAGTGAAACATATTTTCCGTATTTTCACTTGTGATTAATCGGACTACTTTCTTCTAAATTCATCCAATATAAAAATATCAAAAAGGAATTCTACCTATTTATAAGGTTTAAAAAGATAAAATGTATATAATAAACAGAATATTCAAGTTCTCTTTTCTATTACTACAGGACTTATTTTCGTCTTTTTCATACCACTCTATAAAATAAATAAAAGAAACTTGAATTTCCTTTATATATTCAATATCATTTTTGGAACCAAAAATTGACATCAACTTTTAGCAAAGTAATTTTTAAAAAAAAAGGAAATTGCAATATGTGCAATTTCGTAGGACTTGTTAATATGTAATTTTTAATCTTGGTTTATGCTGATTATTTGAAAATGAATAATGAAGCATATAAATTTGATTAAGATAATGAAAGTTTACATACTGAATGTTTTCATGAAGCGGAAGAAGTGACTCCAGTTCGGAGATTCTGTCACTTACGAACTTCTGACTCCGTTCTGTAGAAACTATTCAATTATTTTAAAAAATCAATCCAACAGACTATAATACAAAATGTTAATGCTTTATATTAACTTGTAATTTACTATTAAATGCATTGTTACTAACAAAAGAAGGAACTTGCTCAGATTTAAACAAATATAAAGTAATTGTTATAATTGCTAGTTTATAATTTTGAATTTGGCTCAATAATTTTTAGCACCCTACCATTTTCTTTGCAATTCTTCTCAGGTGATTCATCAACATCATTGAAACCAGCTTTTATCTGAAAATAATTTATTTTCTTGAGATATGATGTAGCTTTATTGACTGTACTTACATTTAATTTAGAATTACAAAATAAAACAATATAAGATATTGTGTTTTTAAATCCTTAGAAAAGTCAATTCAACTTTTATTCAATATACCATTTCAAATGACGGAAAAAAAATGTTTTAAATGGACAAATTACATATAATAATTAAGTTGAAATCGTGAATTCTTGAAGTTGAAATCGTGAATTCGTGAAGCTTAAATCGTTAATTCGTGAAGTTGAGATCGTGAATTCGTGAAGTTGAATTCGTGAAATCACGAAGTCGAATTCGTGAAGTTGTAATCGTGAATTCATAAAGTTGAAAAGGTGAATTCGTGAAGTTAAAAGTATGAATTCATGAAGTTGAAATCGCGAATTCAAGAAGATGAATTCGTGAGTTCACGAATAGAATTCGTGAAGTTGAAATAGTGAATTTATGACGTTTAAAGGTGAATTCGTGAATTTGAAATCATGAATTCATGAAGTTGAAATCGTGATTGTTGAAATAGAGATTTTGTGAAGCTTTAATCGGGAATACATGCAGTTGAAATGGCCCAACCGGTCTCTCGTATATTAGCATACTGGCTTCCTTATATTACATGCAAATTATCGTTTAGAATGACATATCATAAATACTGTCAACTTTTACATGCCATTGTTCAGGACGTCACGTTCTACCTGAATAAACAAGACTTTAAGTGACATTATGCCATCCAAGGGTATCTAGTGAGTGAGCAGGTGAATATAGAAATAAGTTTTCATTTTGCCATAATTCTTTTTAATTTGATAATTTACTTCCCATAAACAGTAAATAGCGCACAGATCCAAATAAAATTTATGTAAATATCTATTAGAATTTACCTATAACGCTCAGTTTATAAAAAGAGTGGGTCTTTTTATATCTTAGGCAGATTTATAATTTTATCCTGAACATTTACCAATATCAACTGTTGGTCAAACAACATGTTAACAGTCAGTCTATTACAACATTTTAACAGTCAGTCTATTGAGATATAAAGTCAATTCAACTCAACTTGACTATGAAAATATGAGCATAATGTCACTTTAATTTCAATGTATTTTTAGCTATTTGGTTAACATTGCTCCGAATATAACTTTGAATTTCAGATATAATACACCTGACAACAAACAAATATTTTCAATAGTCCACTAGAAAGTAGTTGTGTCCCCTTTCATACGTTTTTTATTACTGAGGCAAATTCTTCAATAGTGGTAGATTATATTAAAGAAATTACAATTTGACATAGGATAAGGCAGTGACAAACAAAATAAATTTGATATATACATAATTATTTAGGCTGTTTTGTTTTGTCTAACACTGAGATTGAATAAAAAATAAACAATCTCAATTAACTTTCAATTTGAATATTTTTATAACTAAGATCTAAAAAATAAGTAGATATGAACTTATGTCAGATTGAAAGTTAGCTTGACAATATTCTTTGTGTTAGTTTATTTTTTGTAATATACAGTAATTTTAAAGATTGACGAAACTTTTGTCTTGCTATCAACCGATATACACTCGGTAAATAAATAGAGGATATTTGAGTGTTTGTGTGAAAGGTGAAATTCTATTTCATTTAGTGAGCTTCAAAACAAAATTCTCAATTCTCACGAGTGGTGTAGCGTTTTTAGAATTCAAGAGATGAAAAAAATACAACTTAAACAACAAACAAACAAATCACGTTTTTATGTTATCCTTAAATCAGTTTATGAAATTTACTTAATATTTAAATTTGTTTAGCCCCACTAGTTCCCTCATTTGAGTCGAATTTCTCATAAAATACAAGACGTTTTGAGCTAAAAAATAAGTTTGACAATCAATGTTATGTTATTTTTCATTTTATTTAAGAAATGTGAATGATCACTTGTTCTAATAATAAAAACAAACAATTTTAGTAGAATAAAAGTCACACCATCCGACCTTATTTCCGTTACTTACGGAGAAGTAATATAAGGCAAGGCTTTGTGTCATGTTGTTGGACACCATTTTAAAAGCTGTGTATTTCACATGAGGACAATTATTGTGATTGATTCCGATGGATATTATATAGACTTGTTAGTCATACATCTTTTTATAAGAACGAAAACTTATTTGAGGATTATTATAGACAATGAATAAGTGTTGACAGATGTGTAAACGTTCAAAAACGCCTATGAAATTGGTAAACATGGAATTGTTGAAAGGCTGCCTTACGAATGCTGTGTTTTTTACTTAATTTTCGGGCAAATGACTATCATTGCTTATCGAAGGAAGTGTACTTTTCAGTCTGTAAAACTGAAAAATATATTGAAGACGATATTTGGTGATTTGAATTAATTGAAAGTTTCTTCATTTTATAACTGCTGTCTAAGATATTTATCAATTTCAGCTCTGTGTTTTTCTTAACAGCCCCATGATGGCAGAAGTGTCAATAAAAGTAAAGTTGAGGTACCAGATGGGGAAAAGTAGTCTCGTCATTGAAAAGTATGAGATTACATTTTGATAATTTTCACTGTGAATTTATCAAATATAATTTTCACGGATACATCAGTTATCTACCAAAAAGCATAAAATAAAGTATACAATAATGTATTATCATTTCCTTTTAAAAAAAGTCGTCATTTACTGCTTTGTAATCCCCCTTCATAAAATAAAATATAAAACATAAATAAATATAGATAATGATAAAATAACAATAAATAAATGAAACAAAAGAATAAAAAATATAAATATAAGGGGTCATACTTTATGAGCAGATAAAGGTATTCTGAATGAATAAATGGTTGCATGCTAGAATCTAACAAAATAACCAATCAATTTTTTTTAGAGTAAAGACATTATGTTTCTCCGCACATAAGTTACTAGAAGTGAAAAACAAATTGGTAAATGAAACATGTCTTGACGTTTTGTAATTGTAAATAAAGACCACCATTCAACTACCATTCAACTAGCAATAAAGTTATGGCAGTTTATTGTCTTCATAAAAAAATTTCGCTTTTGAAAAATGGTAATGATTGAATAATTTTTTTGTTTCTGTTTTTTTCTAGTAGAATTTGCATTTGTTTTAAGTTGTTTACTCTCCTTGGCACAATACGTACTCTGGTAGGCTAATTAATGCATTTAGAGAATAAATAGTTAATGAGCTACTAACACAGATGTGTCGCGTATAAAATTTGATGCAGTAAATGTTCTTGAAAAAATTAAATAAAGAAGTCATTTATTCAAAAAATACACTGTCAAGAACGAGTTGTTATCTTTTTAACATTAATTATATGTCAATTGTCCCACAATGCGGTTGTTACGCTGACCCGTAACGAAATTTTAATTTTTAGGAATTCCACTTACTATATAGGTCTAATAGCCTAAAAGAATAAATTTTGGAATTCTTTTTTAAATCAACCGGTACATTTAAATTTGAAACCAAGCAATACATGATATATAAATATACAAGGTATTAAATTGATAATGAAGGGGCGTCTGTAGCCGAGTGGTTAAAGTCGTTGACTTCAAACCACTTACACCTCACCGCTGTAGGTTCAAATCTCGACAGGGACTTTGGATTATTTCATGTGAGTAAGCTATCCAGCTAGCATACGGAACGTCGGTGATTCTACTCAGGTGCCGCTTTTGTGCTTGAAATAATGCACCTGAGGTTTCCCCCCACCAGTAAACTGAAACGTCGACAAATTACCTATGCTGTGTCGGTATGACGTAAAAACCAAAACAAACAAGCAAAACAAAATTTTTATGCGATTTTTGGCCGATTTGAGTGAAAAGCATTTAAACGGTTTTTATTAAATGAGCCAATTTGCACAATAGAATTGATCATTTCTTGAAAAGAGAGTGAGCGAATGATGTAACATTTTATACATGAGTTATTTGTCTAGACATACATCTAGTTTTACTTCGGACTTGAAAAAATATGTTCGTCTATTCATTTCAAAAAACCTCAGTTGAGTCCTTTTAAATATAATTAGGACATATTTGGTTAGATGTATTCGTTAGTTATTAAGTTTACATCGCAGAATTACTCGTGCATTTATTTTGCAAGTGTCTTCATAATTGGTTTACCAAAAAAGTATTTAGCATTTCCTAACATCTTAATAATAATGAAATTAAAGGATAATGCAATGCTACAGTTAATTTAAAGTTACTATATCTGGAAATTATTATTGTGTAAAATGACAGATTATTATGTTGAGACTAATTTGATTCTGAAATGGCTTAATGAAATTTTATGTATTTAATTGAAGAAAAATATGTATAGTGAGAATGATAATGAATACGGAGACAACTAATTTTGATTCAGGTCTTTTTTTTATTTTTAAGTTGCCAATTAAATAGAAATTCAATGGTAAGAGTAACTAAAAAAATCATTTTTTTATTTATCATTTTCTAGTTAAAATAGAAACATTTGAAGGAATTAACTAAGGAAATATGAGAAAATGTCCTTATTCTCTAACTATTAATATAAAACATTCCATGAAAATTAAAACATTTTGCGATTTTGCGATGCATATAAATTTCTCTTTTTTATATATAATTTTGTTTACGACATGTCTCAAGCAAATGCTTTCAATGAGAATTCCAGTGTTCTCAGATTGACTTAATCTATATCATTTTTAGTTAATTACAAAATAAATATTTCTTTTGCCAGTTTTCCAATGCCAACCACAGGAAGTTTAATAATCATTCGTCATAAACTTGTGAAGTCTTAAGTCTTTTTTACCGTTCTATGCGTCCTCTCTTAAATATCCTCTACATAAACTAACAAACAAACTTAAACATTTTTTTAACAAATAAGTAAAATAAAATATTGTACCGTTCATACTGCAATCAAATGTTTCTAATGCTAACATCCATTTTTGAATATCCTCATTATGTATGATACATTTTAAACAATTTTATTAATAATACTTACATTTATTACAAAGATGAGACACCTTGACACGATGTTAAATAAAAAATGATATATTAAATGTAAAACAAGAAGGGAAAAAAAATCAGAAATAACTTACCAGTTCTGTCATGCTCCCTGTCTTGCTAAAGAGATTTTTCAGACCTTTTGTTATGCTGGTCAGCTCCTTAACAAAGGAGTCATCGCCTGTAACTCCACGATGAGAGCGAGTAACCACTGGGAGGGTTTTATCTGTATATGTGATGTCATTATCTTTACTCATTGTCTGCTTTATCTCCATTAATACGATATATTTCTTCCTTCCAATGTTGATATCTTAAAAGCCTGCTTTACCGTTGGTGATATAGTTTCTGCTTGTTTTCATATTGCTTTTATATCCCATAACTCCGACCACATCAGCAGTACAAGTATCAATGTTTGTGGTTTCTCATGCGAAGATGTTTTTTATGTATCCGGTTGTCTGGTTAACTGTTTATTATAATAATAATAATCCATTCTAAAAGTAAGCCAGTCGTTTTCCTTTCCTTGCAGACGTAATTGTTATTTCTGCGACACTTACCATTCAAAACGTATGCCCTTTATAAATAATTTAAAATGAAAGCAATGTATGGTACCAAGGGCAATCATATTTTCCTTTCATATAAGATTGCAGGCTTATAATTAATAACATGTTAAATTAAACCTTTGAGACTTTATCGTGCCTTTTCGCTGTTTAAACACTCAAAAAAAATCAACGTCAAAAAAAAAAAAAAAAAAAAAACGTGAACCTTATTTTCTGCTTCCCATAAATTTGGTTAATCTGTTATAAAGCATCATAATTTTCATGATAAAGTGAATTTATCGTCTTACACATTGTGGAATCTGACCGATATAGTAAACAAAATGTGACTTTTTACATTAACTTGTGATTTGGAAACTGTTGCAATATAAGATAAATGTATTTTAATGTTGAGAGAGTAAATATTGAAGGAGTGATAACATAAACTTTACATGTAATTACATTACAACAAGTATTTTGGTGATAATCATTAGGAACATAATATAGAATGGCGTCTGTATAAATATTTCATAATGCATTATCATAATTATTAAGTTTCAACTGGTAAACATTACTTAAAAGGCAATTCCCATACACGTAACAGGACCGCTCCATGCATTTATTCTTGTTTACATAGCCATTGTCATGATTGTGTTTATTTTGTATCTAATTCCTTGCTGATTTCAACGTGTATTGGCTTTCTATATTCTGATGCAGATTGCGAACATAAACGGGTCAAGACAATAACGTGACGTGTAATTCTATCTTATTCAGTATTTTGAACAATCAGGTTCTGTTAGTGAAAATAGAACAAAACATTTAAGGGTTTTTACGCCGTTTTTACTGCAAAGACTTTATTTTTTAAATATCTAATAATTCATTTAGAAACATTGAAACATCGTAACACGGATATACATGTATTGCACATTTTTTTCTCGAATATTGAGAAATTTGGTTGGCTATGCTATGACTCTAAGTAAACTAGATTTTGAAATGTCATTCCGTAATTTATTTTCGATCCTCAGAGGTATTTCATTAGGACAAAACTTATGTACTTGTGGTATTTTGTATATGTTTGTTTGTTTGTATGTTCTTTTTTTTTTTTTTTTTTTTTTGGTGGTTGTTCTTAGTATTTCTAGACAAATATTGTAAAATCTAAATGCCGGGTTTCTTAGAATGGCATGAACTCGTCACATTGAAGATAATATTCCATAATAACCAGCATATAATCACAACTGCTGTTGCTTCTTAATTCAAAATATAACCAATTGTCATGTTTAAATGTTGCCCGTGTTTTGGGATCTGAGCGATAGCTTAGACTATCTATGAAATGAAGTTGTAACGGAAAGAAATAAATTCTTAACAATCCAAAAATGTGATATATGAGTACTTTAAACATTTAAACTTGTCTGGATATCCCTTTCAAACATATTACTTGTTTAACGGCCAGTTCACGTGTTATGTCGAAAGATATATTTTAAGGTATAACAAAGTTTACCTTCTTAAATGTTTCTTTCATTTACATTTGAACTTAAAGAGAACCTAAACACTTGTAAGCAGGTCTCAAAGATTACTTGGAATAGTTAACTTATTAGATGTTTTGCTTGTATTGAAAAAAAAAATATTCCCTTGATTATTAACATGATGAAGGTCTACGTTTTACAAATGTCACTACCTATTTTCTTTAAATATTAGAGTATTATTGCATATTGTTGTGTATTAACACCTGTCGAAAAAAAGACGCATTAAACCACTAGCCATTAGAGCGATGGATCTAATAAGTAATAAGGCCGACAGCATCTGCAGAAACGAAGATGAATTGACACATTTTGTGCATAAAAATATACGTTTACTTCTGTGATAGCTTTTTTACATGAAGAAACAATTTTGTCACGCTTTTTGTTTTGCTAGTTCGATCCAATTTGACATTTATGAATTTATATTGAAATTTAAGGGGTCGTCATTTAAGTAAGCTCTTTTAACATGGCACCACGACTCAGACATATTATAAAACGTACAATATCGGCACGTAATTTCATCCGTTCATACATATATTCTTTTCTGTTAATGTATACCTGACTGCTTTTTCATATGGAAAAAAAATAAGATATTTCTTTGTCGGTCAAAACACAAAAAGTTAATATGCATAATCGTAAACTAGTATATGCAGAATGAATATTCATCATGTGCATTTGAAATAATGACATTAAACAATCGAAGATATTAAACCAACTAACAAGGCGTTCTTATCAACATTCACACAGACGGCACAAAGAATCATTGCAAAGTAGCTGCAGCCGCCTTTGAAAATAATTTTACAATTGCACTAAGACAACCTGATAACGCATCGGTATTTACTGCAGAAGTGAAGTGAAATGAATTGATACATATAACGGCATAATGGTAATACAATTGATTTTTTAGATTGACTTCTTGTGGTATTATTAATTCAAAATCTTAAGTAAAATAAAGATTAAGAAACTCCTTTTTTTGATTTCATGAAAGTTTGCAATTTTAGAAATAAGTCAGTCAAATTATTTTAAATAAGACAGCTACAAAGGAATGCGAAAACATGAAAAAGTAGATGCTTTGGCAATAGAACCCTTCAATTTTAAACCAGAAGATTTATTGAAAACAAATGGTGACAGTTGGTGACACTAATTTCTTCTGAATGGAAATCAAATTGGTTGCTGACAAAAGCTGAATTTGACAATTTCATAGAATCAATCCTTGTCTTGATAAATCATCACCTCTATCTCTGCTTAACCGTCAAGATCAAGTTGTTCATTTTTCATGTAGATTGAGACGGCATACTTTTATTATAGTGTAGTGTTTACAGCGGGTACAGACCATTTATGTGTCAATGTCGCAAATTATTCCATAACAAAAACAAGCCAACATGTAAACCAAAATATACATTTTATTTAGATTCATGTACCATCAAGGAAATAGTACACAACGCTGATTGTATTTTAAAGTGACCGATCAGTAAGCCGGTAAACATTCAACGGACCGTCCGTTTAACGTTTGGGGCTGACTGAGAAGTCCCTATTATGCTACATGTATGAGGTCCGAAGTACTGTGTATATTTCTTATACTTATCCGTGCTTACCTAGAACGTAATGGTACAATTTTTTATTGTTTATTCATATGTTTCCTTATAAAAGGTTCTGCATAATGTAAGAAGTCAGGTTTTACTATGCTCATTCGGTCACTGCACTTAAATTGTCAAACCGTTATAGTTCGTGAATATTTAAATATTTGAAAGACTACTGATACTTACATAAATAAAGAAAATATTTATATCAGATTATTATATTCAATAATAATTTTTAACAAGTTCCAAAAATAACAAGTTTGCAAGTACAATACAGTCAAACTAGAACAAATGACTTTTTTCTTTCTTACGACATGGCTGAATTTATTTACTGGACCATAATTATTATCAAATAGAGTACTAAAATATCTTCTTTTTTTAAACGAAAGTACTATTTTAAAGATTTGCCGTTCCTTTTTGGGGTATCCCTTTCAAATGTATTTATAAAAGTAATTTGTTAAAAAGTTTTACATAAAGATGTTTAATTCTATTTGCATAGAATAATTTGTAAAAGTTTAATACGTACCTGTTATTTTTTTAAAACTTCTTCAAAATAATATTAATAAATGTTATTCTTCTCGAATCAAAATCCAGTGACGTCACGAAATGGAATCTGCGTCAAACTCAGATAGCGGTAAATAATCAGAAGTTGTTGAATTATTCCTAACAACTACGCAATTAAAAAGTTATCGGTGGTATTTGATGCATATATGTATTGTTTATCGGAATGGCCCGATAGATTATTTTTATCCGTTGTTTTATTGATTTGTTCGGCGTAAATTATGTTGGGGTGGGGAAAAGGCGTTTCATTCCTTGTGTTTATTTATACTGTATAGGGGATATAATTTGGATATTATAATAAATATTGACATAATTTCAAGTTCCTGTGATACAGTGTAGTAGAATAACTTTTTGCGTATCTATAAGTTTAAAGTAGCAAATATTATATAAGTGAGTAATTCAAATTTCCAAATGCTTTTCCAATAATTATGACCTACGTTACATCATTGGTTTGTGTTGTAACTTCTTCAGTGAACCTTTCACGATTAAATTCATAAGTGTGTTTCTCAATAAAGCGGTCCGGCACAACATACAACAATTATGATATAATATCATAAGCGATCACCATTGGTTAAGCATATGCTGATCATTGAATAACAGTCTTTTCAAAAATTGAAGTCTTAACCAATCTGCTGTTATAAATGTCGTCATGATATTACGCTTCGGAACAGCGGCCTGAAAGCAGACAGAAAGGCTTACAAAAATTACAGGACATCGATAATGCAAGCGTTTATAAGTGTGCGTTTAAAAATAGATGCACAGCAAAGTATAAACATATGTAGGATTTATACCTTTCTTGTCATTAATGATAGCGCTGTTTAGAAAATTTTGTATTATTTATTTCTAATCATCAAGGTCTAATTCACAAGATTGAATATCTGGTTCCAAACCCAAACTTCTCCAAAGGGCCTTTATACTTTTCTGTTTGCAACTGACATCATTTGTAATCATTCAAATGATTTACGTTGAAAAAATAAAAAAGAAGCAACTACAGTTCGATTTTACATAGACCACCTTGTTTTCATTTTAATTTGTAGGTGGTTTGTTAGCGGGTGTCTGGCATAAATGAATGACTTTTTACTAGTTTGTAATGTCTCCTATATTGTTCTAATTACTTACACACCTACAATGTCAGTCAATTTGCATATATTTTACGTTATTTATATTAACACAATATCAAGTAATACGCAGGCCAGATAATTAACGAGTATTCTAGAATGAAGATTAATGGA